TTGTTTCGCAGCGAGTCTTATTATCGAGCGAGGTGGTTGCACGTGGGAGTTGCCTTGCAACGGATTTGTAATATCGAGCGAGTTAGCTCCTCGTGGGAGTTGTCCCGCTGCGGGTTGGGGTACCGAGCGAGTTGTCTCCTCGTGGGAGTTATCTCGCTGTGGGTTGTAGTACCGAGCGAGTTGGCTCCTCGTGGGAGTAATCTCGCTGCGGATCATAGGATGGAGCGAGTGGTCTCCTCGTAGGAGTTATCTCGCTGCGGGTTCGTAGGACCGAGCGAGTTGGCTCCTCGTGGGAGTTTCCTCGCTGCGGGTCGTAGGATGGAGCGAGTGGTCTCCTCATAGGAGTTGTCTCGCAAGCCCCCCACTCTCGAGACGATGTGGGAGCCAAGTCAAAAGGGGTACCGGATCGTATTGAGAGTAGAACGGTGCTGTAGTCTTGCGTTAATCGTTGGCATGGCGTGGAGAAATAATTTTTTTTTTATTTTTTTATTTTCCATTTGATAGCGAACGCAATTTGGTAGGTGCGTTAAAGAGCTCGCGGAATTTGGTGGAGCGCGTTGAAATTCTCGTGCGATTTGGAGAAGCGAGTCAAAATCTACGCGCAATTTGGTGGAGGACGGTGAAATTTGAGCGCGATTTGATGGGAGCACGCAGTCCAAGGGCTACCGATCTGCTTGACAACTTGATGATCCTGAGGTACCTGCGATATGAACACACGTGAACTACGCCGGGGGTTGATCCGGCGGAAACCCCTCCGACGCTCAAGTCAGACGTGCTGATCATAGAAATAGTCCAGAGAATACGTATTGTAGTATTGCTCAGTTAATAGGACGTACCTTAATAAAATGAGTAAAACCTCTATTGATATGTCGTTTATTGGGTTGGGTTGGGTTTGTTGGGCCCAAGCCTTACTTGAAGGTGTTTGGGCCTCGGTGATATTGGTCTTCGATATTGGGCTCGTAGCCCAGTAGGTAAAGAAATTGTAGGCCGATTGGGTTGGCCCAATTAGGCATATCACATACATTTATAGTAGAAACCGGATTAATCATAAATTTCACTTTTTATTCACCTATGGTAAAATACATCATCAAATTGATGTTAAAAATGTTTTTACTTTTTATGTTTAAAGTAAGTGAATTTTTTTGAATTTTACTATTATTTTTTAGAAACTGAAAATTGCAGTGCAGTTCAAAAATTTCATATGTATTTCAATATCAATCTGAAAATAACCCAAAAAATCGAATACTCAGAATTTAGATTGAAGAATATTGTTACATAATCGAATATTTGCGGACCGGATTCAGCGGGATTCAAATTTTCACCCCTAGCTGCAATAACACAAAATCAATTTTATAAGCTTTGAAAAATCAGAATCCTCAACTCTTTTTTGCCCAAACATTATTTTATTATTATCGTAAACTTTTATCACTAAATTACATAGAAAAAAAAAATTCAATAGTTCAAATTCTTTTTTCCCTGTTTAATATTTTAAAACCAAATTTAAATCATATTTAAATCCAATTTATAATTTTAATTAATTATTGATATAGTGGTGAAAAGTGAAACCTGAAATATATATTGGTTTGGTGGGCCATGGGTAGTTTGGAGTATGTGGCGATCAGATAATGTCCCTATCGTGGGTAATGCCTTTTTACCACACCGACACTGCCACGTCACTGTTAACTTTTCCCATACAAAAAGACGCGTGATTTAATATATGAAATGCTATTTGCGGTCACAAAACTGCTATTCGCGGTTTATAACTAAACCCTCTAAAACTTTTAAAAATATGCAAAACCCCCCAAAACTGCAAATAGCAAAAAAAAAAAAAAAAGAAAATTCGAAAATTCGAAATCAAGCTTGAAGAAGGGTTGGGTTTCGATTTTTTGATGTAATTTTGACACTTTTATGTGTAATATGCATTGGGTAGGTCGATTACGGAACCAATTTCATGTTAAAAAGCCCTACAAATCGATTTGTAGGGCTTTTTTTTTTTCGCAAAAAACTGTTCAAACGCCCAAGATGGGCGCCCAAGGCGTGTACGAAAAAAAAAAAAAAATTTGCAGTGGACGCCCAACTCGGTCGCCCAAATGCAGCTGGCACGCCCAACTTGGGCGTGCCCTGCATGAATGGGCGCCCAAGTTGGGCTTTTACGCGTTTTGGGGGGGTTTTTAGATTTTTTTGAAAAGTTTTAGGGTTTTAGTGAAATAAAGTATTTTTTTGGGGGGTTTTGTTATAAACCGCGAATAGCAATTTTCAAACCGCAAAGAGCAATTCCCAATAATATTAATTTCTTTTAACTTATTATTTAGGATAAATTACAACCACCCCTGAAGTATGGTCAAATTACGAAAATCTCCATTATATTTGGGTAATTACAACCACCCATTAACTATAAATCTTCTTACACGTCCACCTTGCGGTTTCAAATTTAGTGGAATCTTCGAGATTAAAGGGAATATTATCACTTTTGTACCCATTTTATTCCATTCGATCTCTACATTTTGAAGTAAGATGATCATAATATGTATTTTTTGGCTTGTATATACATTAGATTGGGGTGCATAAAACACTATATTTTTACCCAAAATGAGTACAAACTAAAGCACATCCCACGAAATCTATATGATTATGTTGAATTTGGCACCATTAGGGTGGAGGTGTAAGAAAAAATCATAGTTAAAGGGATAAATATAATTATCCAAACAAGAGGAATTTTTTCATAAATTAACCATACCTCAGAGGTGGTTGTAATTTACCCTATTATTTATTAATGTCAAAAATAAAAAAATATTGCGCAAGAAAATTTCAAACTCTAGCTTTGAGCCAGTTGTATATAATTAATTGAATATTAAAAATTAATGCATCAATTTGATAAATTGAATTTCTCAATTATTTTATAATTTGCTGTTGATGAGGAATCAGTCATCCCACCTTACCAAATTCATGATGCAAACATGGTTGAACCAAAGGATATTAAACGAGTCCTTGTATATAAGCTGTTAAATAGAGTTTATAAGCTCTTTTATAGTGTTTGATAATTATTTATAGAAAAATAGGATAAATTACAACCATCTCATGAGCTAATGTCAAATTACGAAAAATCCTTTCATGTTTGAGTAATTACAACCACCTACATCGACTATGAATCTTCTTGCTCTTCTAGGTTATGTGTATTAATTCTCCAGTTTATACCCGTTTTAATCCATTCGAAATCCACTTTTGAAACAAGATGATCATAAGATGTGTCGCTTGACTTGTAAATATCAAATTGTGGTGTATCGGAAACTGTTTTTTTGCTCAAAATTAGTACAAACTAGAGAACATTCTATTGAATCTAGAAAATTATGTAGAATTTAATACTGCAAGAGTGGACGTGTAAGAAGATTCATAGTTGATGAATAGTTGTAATTACCCAAACATAAGGAGTTTTTTTCCATAATTTGACATTACATTAAGGAATTGATTGTAATTTACTTTTTTTATTTAAGATCATATAATAACTAAAAATAGTTTATAAGATGATTATTCAAATACTTAAGAAATATAACAGAACAACTTATCAAATACAAGAACTTATATTTCATTACTTTCAAACCACCGACCTATACGCCAAGGCCACTTATATTTCATTACTTTCAAACCTTTTTTGTATAATAATAATAATAAAAAAAAAGGAAATTAAAGAAGAAGAAAAAACTAAATCAAATTAGCTTCCACTTATTAAAATTAAAATAATAGCGAGGTTGATTGACCAAACAACATGTCAACGTCAACATACACAATATAAAGTAACTTGTATACAAGATTAAAATTGAGTTCCAACTATAAATAATATTTTTTAAAGATCATATTAAATTAAAATATAATCATAATATTTTTTTTCTCAAGTAAATGTGGATCCAAAGCAATAATATAATTATTTAATTAGTGGGCGCTGACCCCCTCCTCTCTGCATAACGTTTTGCGTAATCTCGTATCAGGCTTAAAATAATTATATATAATACCTAGATTTTGACGTTTAATTAATCAATTAATAAATAATCAATAATAATATAATCTGCGTCACCTTCATAATCATATAATTGACTGTGACATTTTGATTTGATCCCCCTTTCTGCGAAGTTTACAAAGATATTCATTCACATTCAAACAGTTGAGGGGGGCGATTTTTCGATTCCCAGTATTTTGTCGGGGAAGCGTCGCTTTCATCATCTCACTTGTCAATTTTTCATTTTTGCCCCTCTTTTTATTTTGTTGTTTCTGAAAGACCCCCAATTTTTTCCGTGTTTTGGGGTTTTCAGCATTCTAGAATTGGAAGAAAGCTTCCATTTTAGTGGCGGTCATCAAAATCTGGCTGCGTCTCTCTCCAATTTAGCTGATTGTAGCTTTTTTTTTTTTTTTTTTTTTCTGTGGAAAAGTTTGACGAATTAATTGTGATCTCAGTGGTTTTTTATGATCTCGGTGTTCGAGATTTCTCTGTGAGATTTGGAAATTGGTTACTGGGGTTTTATGCATGAATTGAATTTGGGGGAGGTACAGTAAATTTTTTTTCTCCATTTTTTTGATTGATGACTCAGTGAGTAGGTTGATTGATTTGATGAAGAACTCAGTGGGTTTAGGGTTATGTGATAAATCGAAATTGAAGTATAATTGGTAGGAAATGTTGTGGGTAGATTTGATTTAGAGAGGCTGTAGTGAGTGAGATGTCATCTGCATCTCCATCCCCAAATTCTCCTCCGGTAGCTGCCGCTCCGCCACCTCAGCCTTCTCCTTCTCCGCCGGCGAATTCTTCCCCACCGCCTCAATCGAATTCACCTCCTCCACAAACTCCTATTGCACCACCACCTCAGCCCAATTCACCTCCGCCCCAACCCAATTCTCCTCCACCGGACCCCC